ATGATATTGGCAAAAGAAAAATCGGATTCGCAAAGTCTTTACCATAATGATTTTGATTCAGAATAATGTTGTGTTTTGAAATGAGTAAATGTTTAGTAGGAGTTAAAGTTCAGGATGTAATGTATGTTTTGCTTGATGAACAGTGGAACATCTTTTGTGTGGATGAATATGTATAATATATGTTGGAGTATATGAAGATTGCTGTAAGGTTTCTAGGTGTTTTTCAAGTTGTACAAATTTAGATAAGAATTGAGGTTAAACATAGATGTTGCTAGGCGGGTAAAGCAGTACAGAGTAAGTTCCTAGTGATAGCCTGGTCTTATTGTTCAAGTTTTTTGACCTAACATTTTTTGTGAACGTTTAAGAATGACGTCAATGCTTTTTGGCAAAGCTTATCATTTCAGAAAACCTCGGACATTTATTCATGCCTTTCTAAGCCATGTACAATCAAGTACAAACTGCGCAAATAATCGGGAATACTTAGTTAACCTTTGAAAATTTTGGCATAAATAGTGGTTCATCGTTGCAAGCTTAATGAATCAGTATACAACGGTATACTTCTGACTGACTCAAATTATAATTACGGAGGCTATATTTAGTATTAGTGCTCTTGACTACGCAGACAACAGAGGTTATAGTTCTTACTTAGAAAAAGAAAGGTAAGAGGAGCTTGCTTGAAAGGAATGAACATTAAAATTATTATTCTAGTCTGCTCTAAGACACTCAAAATCATAGAGTTCTCTGAAAGTTGGCATAACATTGTAATTGGATTTGCTAATAAATCATTACGCCGGTAGGGCCTTCCTGTAGGATTACGGAGGTATACGTAAGGGGTCTAAATTATGTTAACTGAGTTTGTGATTAGCATATCAAACAATCCCTCGTGCGAATTTTCAGAGGCTGTGTACTGGCTCTCCACAGTCCACCTAAAATAAGCCTACCATAATCTAAGCATGCAAAATGAACATGAATTTGTGACCAGCGCCCAATCACCTTCTTGAGCAGAGTTTCAAATCAAAGTTATTCCAAGATTTCATGGCGTTATGGGTGAAATAGCACTTGCTCTCTACTCCTAGTTTAAAAGAAGAAGAACTATAATACTTCATTGAAGAGATCCAATGAGAGAATAAGATTGGAAATTGCAAATAGATTGAATGCTCTTCTTTTATAGCGAGTTCAATTCAAAACTCACTTTTAGAGAGATTTATTATCGTCTTACTTAAGTGAAATCCCAAGTACGGCTAGACTTCACTAGTGCGTGCAGAAAGCGCGTGCATACTGGTTGTGACACAAACCAATTATAAACATATTTTAAGGGGAATGCAGCAAAACTCGCACAGCATGCGAAATTACCCGCCACGTTATTCTTCTATGCTAAATAGGAAGAGAAATATAATATATATGAAATATAATGCGATATCGCGTTTCACGTCGCAAAATGTGAGTTCTATAGCTTATCTTTTCTTCCTGTTGCTGTTTTGTGAGTATAGCTGCAATAATATCGACCCAGTAAGCCTTCTGTTAAGCTCAACACTGGAAGTGCCCCTATACTCAAACGCAGTCAAATAAGGGATAAGGAGAATTTGATCGATATTCTGGGATTTACCTTTAGAAGAATGTTCTTATACCCCCCATCAGGATCCTACAAATGAGCGGCTAATTAAGCTCACGTGCTACGATTACCCGCTTTACCGTCAATGCTCCTCCTTCTCGTCAAAAGCAAAGCATTCCTCAGCTTCTTCACGAGCCAAGAAACCAATTCATCAACCGCGACATGCCGGATGGTGTCAGGTGTTGAGCAAATTCGCAATGCGCCGTCCATGTCCTCTTCTGTTTGTTCTACTACTAATATTTATCCATGGAAATCATATCGTACGAGCCTTCTCCTGTCCAGAACCGGTTGGACCACGGCCAAAATACTGTCGCAAAGAGTGCGCCAGTGATGACGACTGCAAAAAGCATAAACGCTGCATGTGTGATGGCGAATGTGGATTGAGTTGTGTTAATCCTGGTAGGTTATTTAGTGATTTTTCTTAAGTTTTGAATTAATGGAAGTGCTCCTTTAGCTTCAACTTGTCATTCACTTGCCGAAATTGACAATGGGATCATTCGTACAGCTGGAGAGTTGAGGTATGCTTACAACATTTTTTTCTCGACTTTCGTTTCTAGTGCAGTAATGCAGTTTTTATGTAATTAATGTAATTGTAATTTTATTGCACATTGTAATTTTTCGAAATAATCTGTCACTTTTTCTTGAATGAAATTAGATTAAAAACAAAGTTGCTATAAGATGCAAAAGCACACAAGTTATTAATTTTGGTAGAGGGCAGGAAGTGGGAAAGAGACCATTTGATTTTTTAACAAAAAGGTCAGTTTGTCTTACATTATCATATAAAGGATACGAAGGTGCGTTGTACAATCGAAATCGCAGCATTACTCTTAAACTTTGCCCAGTTGGCTATTTGACTTGCTAACCATATTTGCTGAACTTCTAGTATTTCTTTTAAGAATTACATATATGTTTTTACTATCACCGTAATAATTTATTCGTGTGTAACTTCTCAGTAATAACTGAACTTTAAATGCGCAAGAGTCGCAATCTTCTCCCATTTCCAATGTGAGATGATCATAAACTCTGCACTTGTATAACCGGATCAATCAAAAATGATTGATATAGATTTCGAAAATGAACTTCAAGTCTCATGCACTTTCTGTCATAACGTCAATAGTGTGCTCACTTTTTCTTTTTAGTAATCAGTTTAATTAGTCCTTATGGCATTAAATATAAATTTTACAGGTTCGGCTCTAACGCAGAATATGCATGCAATAAAGGTTATGTACTGATCGGCTCCTCTCAAAGACGATGTCAAGGAAATCGCGAATGGAGCGGGGCAC